CTAGATCTCATGTAACTGTAGCTGACATAAATGTACCGGGATTTGATGTAACTGTGGCGGAATCTGACATAACTGTACTGGGATCTGATGTAACTTGGCGGGATCTGACATAACTGTACCGTGATCTAATGTAACTGCACACAAAAGACTTGGTCTTTGGGTAATAAGATCGGACGCCCGTTTGTACTGTTGCGCACGTAAAAAAATACCCCAATCAGTTGGAAATCGAAAAGAGTAGTCTAACGCCGCTGCCCAGGCAAACATCTGGAGTTAAAAATCTACCCAAAGTATTTCAGGATCCTCGCCGGTGCTACGGAGTACATGCACTGCGCTGAGATTCTTCGGACTCAGGCTTGAGTTGGAAGTAGAACGAAGAACTTATGGGTTACTACCATTGTGCCGTAATGTTAATCTACTGTATAAACCATACAGTGGGTTCGATTTCTTAAAAGTACCTGATGCTCTGAGCTCCCACGGGCCTCACTTCCTACTTTGAGAACCGTCGATTTCTGGGACAAACACGGAAACCAGTCAAAAAGGGTGGCCCGAGGGGCGGGGAGGGGGGGGGGGGTTAAGTCATCAACACGCGGAGTCACGTGAGAGTCAGGTCTCGAAGGTTACAGTCGTAGGCCAGGTGTGTACAGGTGTGCTAATTGGGTCAGGGCAGAAATCTCTCACACATACACACACACACACAAACACATGCGTATCAACACCACTACAAACACAAACACGCTAGCAAACAGGCCGGCGAATAATGACCAGGGGTGGAACTAATGGGTGATACATGAAGTGGATACACTAACTTCTAGTATAGACAATAAAAAGGATATACTTCACTTTAAACAGTAATGGGGGATGCATAAGGAAATTTTTTGTATAGACAGTAAAAAGGATATGGTAAACTTTAGGATAAACAGTATGGAGGAGATACTAAACTTTAATAAAGACAGTATGGAGAGATACTAAACTTTAAAATAGGCACTATGGAGGAGATACTAAACTTTAATTTAGACAGTTTGGAGGATATACTAAAATTTAATATAGACAGTATGGGAGATACTAAATGTCAGTATATACAGTATGGAAGATATATTAAACTTGAGTATAGACAGTATGAAAGATATAATAGACTTGAGTACAGACAGTATGGAAGATATAATAAACTTTAGTATAGACAGTATGGAAGATATACTAAACTTTTGTATAGACAGCATGAAGGATATACTAAACTTTTGTATAGACAGTATGAAGGATATACTAAACTTGTGTATAGACAGCATGAAGGATATACTAGACTTTTGTATAGACAGTATGAAGGATATACTAAACTTTAGTATAGACAGCATGAAGGATATACTAGACTTTTGTATAGACAGTATGAAGGATATACTAAACTTTAGTATAGACAGTATGAAGGATATACTAAACTTTAGTATAGGCAGTATGAAGAATATACTAAACTTTAGTATAGACAGTATGGAAGATTTATTAAACTTTCGTTCAGACAGTATGAAGAATATACTAAACTTTAGTATAGACAGTATGGAGAATATACTAAACTTTAATATATACAGTGTGAAGGATAAACTAAACTTTAGTATAGACAGTATGAAGGATATACTAAACTTAAGTATAGACAGTATGGAGCATATATTAAACTTGAGTATAGACAGTTTCGTGTAATAAGTTATTTAATCAGGGCCGCCGATATTTCATGGGAAATTCTAGTGAAAGTCCAACATTATATGGTTGTTAGGATAAGTTGGTGTTCATTTCACACCCTACCACTCCTAAACTATTGGACATTCCAGGAATTCCCCACAAAATCAGGGAGGCCCCGAGACGGGGCGAAAAAAAAAAAGAAAAGGACCGGGAGATACACTCTGCAATAAGTCCACGTGAACATGGCGGTCTGGAACTGAGTTGAGAGACAGGCCCTCTACCCCAAGTCCACTGCAATAGGTAACAGGGGTTCTTTGTGAATATCCTACCGCTAGATGACGTCACAAGACAGTCCAACATTTTAGTGGTAGGGTGGTAAGACTAAGTTTCCCGGCTTTCTGATCCTTTCAAGTACCCTAAAACATCTACAACTGGCCCTAACCCCAACCCACCTACGTCCCACGAGAGAGTGCAGCCTAGGCCCCACGGCTGGATGCAGCCTAGGTACCACGACTGCGTGCAGCCTATCTACCACCCCCTGAAATATTAGACTGTCCTGTGACCTGTGGATTTTCCCTGTTTGGAGTAGGATATTAATAAAGCACCGGTAACAGCCCTTGAACAACCCCAGTCTTTTCTCTCTCTCTCTCTCTCTCTCTCTCTCTCTCTCTCTCTCTCTCTCTCTCTCTGTCTCCCTCTCTTCCCCAAATCGCTCTCTCTCCCTCTCTCTCTCACTCTCTCTCTCTCTCTCTCTCTCTCTCTCTCTGAACTCACAGTAGAAAGAAAACGTAAGCAGTCAACATTTTAAAAATAAATCAAATAAAAAAAAAAAAATAGCGACAACAGCAAACCTGATGGTAACAGAGCCCAGGGAAGACAAAGAGAACGGTACAACTCACGAATGTCGCCGCATTTCGTTCGGCTGCGTGATTTCGTAGCGGTTCCCATGGGCTGTGCTATGTTCTAGGGGTGTCATGTGTTGCTTGTTTTAAACACTTTAAGCACATCCACCACCGACGACAGCCACCGGTAACGAGCGTAAAATACAAAAGAATCAATGATTCGATGCTCACAAACCGTCGCACCTTTGGCGCTTCTCCAGCAGTATTTCTTTCTTGAACACAGTCGCCTGCGGCGCCTGAAACTTAGTCACAATGACGTATTCCAGAAACAACACTATTTCGCATTTTTAAAAAAAAATATATGCGAAAAGCTGCGCAGTTTCGTATGGGAGACAGTCTGTCGACCTAGTCGAACTAGGCCAAGCCACTTCTGGGCACGCTGGATACAGACGGCGAATGAAAAACATCCTATAACACCCCTACAACTCAGTACAGCCCGAGAGAACCGCTAGGAAATCTCGCCGCCGACGAGATGGGGTGACATACGTGAAATGTACCCAGAGGACAAAGAATGAATGGCATGACCTTACATAACATCAGCTGTAAAAGAGACTAATGTGAGATGACCGTCTCTGACAATCTAGCATCACCTCTCTTGGTCTGCCTCTACCCCTTTTTCCACTGATCATTCCGGTTGTCACGATGTTCTCCAATGTCTCTCTTCTCATCATGTGGCCAAAGAACAGTGTTTGTCTCTTTCTTATTGTTGTATATAGAGATCTACTTTCATTAGCCTCTTTCAGGCAATCGTTGTTAGGTACTCTGGCCGTCCATGGTATTCGTAACATTTTAGTTTAGGATATTGTGTGTATATCCCGGCCTTTCGTTGAGCTTCCTAGACACAGTTTACTGAATTCATGTGTATGACAGCCGACGCTTATCGGGGCGCAGCCTGATGATGATGGTGTAAAATCTAGGTCAGGCGACGCGCGCGGTAACTATGTAAAGACAAGTCAAGTGTGAAGTGGGGTCTTGACTCCCGCCAGACGAGAGGTCGCGAAGCGGCAATCAGGGCCCTAACGACGTCAAGGTAAACGACAGACTAACAAGTGGTTTCCAGTTTGATCAAGACGTGTTGTTTGCACAGTTCATTGACATTTGACCTTCGTACGGCCGAGTGCACCACTTGGATCACTTGGATCACGCGGATCGGCTTTCCGTGGGGTCTAGGGATCAGACTCAAACACTCAGGTTCTGGAGCAGGAACTGCAGTTGAGTAGTGGATGAGCAACCAGAACTTTCCGCCATAGTGTACAGCTGGTGAACGCGAAGAAGAAGACTCAAATAACAAGGCATGCATTCGAGGGAATCGAATTCGCTACACCGGGTTTGATCCAATATGGCTCGGTCTCTGCAAAACGACTAGCTGCCTGCCGAAAAAGTTGCATAAAGCACGATCACCTAGATCCGGTGACGATCATCGGGGAGTCTGTATAAACAGCACTGGTGAACCCAGCGACGCAACCGTCCAGAACAAAGTTTGCAGTCACTGAACGCAAAAAAAAAAAAAAAAAAGAGTGGACATCACAGACTATACAAATAAAACATCTCAACCAGGAATGAATAAGAAGAAACTCCACAGGGAAGCATGTACAGCAGGAGCCTACCAATCATCAGTAGAAGATCCCTTGTCAACAATTGTTTCGGCACATAACCTCGTATACAACTTCAGAGGGTGGGCCCACTTGGGTTATGACTCCCAGGCCTCGATCTTCTCCTGCTGCACTTTACCCGAAGCTCTCGGACAGGGACAAGACAAGATGAAATGATGACACAAGGTGTGAATAACTCACAAGATCTGACTAACCCACAAGGCCTGACTAACCCACAAGGCCTGACTAACACACAAGGCCTGACTAATCCACAAGGCCTGACTAATCCACAAAATCTGACTAACCCACAAGGCCTGACTAATCCACAAGATCTGACTAACCCACAAGGCCTGACTAACCCACAAGACCCGACTAACCCACAAGAACTGACTAACCCACAAGACCTGACTAACCCACAAGGCCTGATTAACATACACGATCTGACTAACCTACAAGGTGTGACTAACCCACAAGATGTGACTAACCCACAAGATCTGACTAACACACACGATCTGACTAACCCACAAGGCCTGACTAACCCACAAGGCCTGACTAACCCACAAGGCCTGACTAACCCGCAAGATCCGACAAACCCACACGATCTGACTAACCCACAAGGTGTGACTAACACACACGATCTGACTAACCCTCAAGGCCTGACTAACTACTAACTCACAAGATCTAACTAACCCCCAAGATCTGACTTCCCAATATTGGCCAGAAACTGAAGATCAACAGCAGCCACTCAGTGGTTCAGCACAAACAGCCGAGTGGGACAAGAGCCAAATCTAGCCAGACAAGAAGTCAAAGCTAAGACACAGCAGGTCACAAGGCTATCACATATCAAACATGTCCGCAAGAATCCCGGACACAACAGAGCAAGTAATGACAAGCCCTCAACAAAAGAACGGGGGGGGGGGGGGGGGGGGGACAGTAACTTCCGGGATTAAGAGGCATACAGAAATTGTAGATGACAGCCAACAGCACACCATCAACATGTGCCAGGCTTAACTCAAGCAGCTGCAGTTTTAGACAAATAACTAGTCTTTAACCAGTTCTGAACGTCTCCACGTGTGATCGTCAGATCCATAGCGGCAAAGGTCTGGGGGGGGGGGGGGGGGGAGGGAGGGGGAGATAGACCCACAATCTCTTAACAAGCATGTCGCAGAATGTGACTAATAAAGGGTTTGTTAAAATGAGAAATGTTGGGTCGTAAAAGGGCAGATATCGCAGCCCAGCTGTAAATCCGAATACAATGTACCAACAACATTTTAAAAGGGTGACAGCAGAAGAGGAACCGGGTATGTCTGGTTCTGATTCAGGTAATTCGATTCCAAACATCAGAGCAAACTGATCGCCCCACGGTTGCTCCTGCGCCAATGAAAACCAGCAGACTGTAGTGTCGGCAATTAGCAGCTATCAGACGTGCCAACAAAAACTGTCTGACACTGGAAAGGCAGTACATCACTGATGGAAGCACCATCTACAACAGATCAGGAGATGCACACACAGTTAAATCTCATAAGGCACCACCAGTTCTGTGCAACACAAAGCACCAGGACACAGTCGAAAACATCCGCAACTCAGTGTGTGTCATGCACTCAGCTCAGCAGTTGGGCAATGGAACCATACACATTCAGTCCAAACCAAGAGGAAAATAACAACGAACTTGCCATGACTAAAGAAAGTTAGCTTGTCTATCTGTTGTACTAAGCCGGGATTTGTCCTGATTACTGCCATATAACCAAGAATTCCTTGTATTTTTCTCAGTGTCCTCTCCATTTCTTTACCCATCAAATTTACCAGCTATCACAAAGTGTTCAAGTGCACTTCCCCTGAGAGCCATTCAAGCTCCTGCTGATAAACTATGACTGGTAGCTAAGCCTTTTGTTAGGAAAACAGATTTGGTTCCTATTTCGTCCTATTCTTAGCATTCACTGACTATAAACTCTGGCATAAAATTCTGGTTGTTGGTCCAATGCTGGGCTTAAATTTTGTTCCAGAATATCCACTTCTGGACTTAAGCCTTGTTCCAGAACATCCACTTCTGGGCTTAAGTCTTGTTCCAGAACATCCACTTCTGGGCTCAAGTCTTGTTCCAGAACATCCACTTCTGGGCTTAAGCCTTGTTCCAGAACATCCACTTCTGGGCTTAAGTCTTGTTCCAGAACATTCACTTCTGGACTTAAGTCTTGTTCCAGAACATCCACTTCTGGGCTTAAGCCTTGTTCCAGAACATCCACTTCTGGGCTTAAGTCTTGTTCCAGAACATCCATTTCTGGGCTTAAATCTTGTTCCAGAACATCCACTTCTGGACTTAAGTCTTGTTCCAGAACATCCATTTCTGGGCTTAAGCCTTCTTCCAGAACATCCACTTCTGAGCTTAAGTCTTGTCCCAGAACATCCACTTCTGGGATTAAGCCTTCTTCCAGAACATCCACTTCTGGGCTTAACAGGCCCAAAATTATGTCAGTAAGGTAAACTAATAGGGGTGTTTTCTTCAAAGTGAGACTGCTTTTACCCGAGAGACAAAAAACCAACAGCCTGCTTATAAATTAGTTAGATGTGTAAAATATATGTGCACGCAACACTCAAGTTCCGAACAAAGACTAAAGTCTAGTAGTGGAAGAGCAACCACAATGTTACACCGCAGTTTACAGCTGGTGAACGTGAAGAAGAAAAAAAAAACTCATACTCTGAAAAAATACTTGGGAAAGTTAGAGGAAATTCTGACAAGGAATTATACAATCCTTGAGAAACCAGAGGAACACAAATGGTATGTTTTTAGGCAAGACAATGGTATGTTTTTATGCAAGACAAGGTATGTTTTCAGGCAAAACAATGGTATGTTTTTAGGCAAGACAATGATATGTTTTTAAGGCAAGACAATGGTATGTTTTTAGGCAATGCAATGGTATGTTTTCAGACAAGACAAAGGTATGTTTTAGGCAAGACAATGACTAAAGACAATGGTATGTTTTTTGACATATAAACGACTGAAGAATGTTTTTAGGCAAGCACATAGAATACAGACAATGCTACGTTTTTGGCAAACAAGCAACTGAAGACAATGGTACGTTTTTGGCACACAAGCAACTGAAGACAATGGTATGTTTTTAGCATACAAGCAACTAAAGACAATGGCATGTTTTTGGCAAACAAGCAACTGAAGACAATGCTATGTTTTTGGCAAACAAGCAACTAAAAACAATGGTATGTTTTTGGCAAACAAGCAACTAAAAACAATGGTATGTTTTTTGGCAAACAAGCAACTAAAGACAATGGTATGTTTTTGGCATACAAGCAACTGAAGACAATGGTATGTTTTTTTAACACAAGCATAGATAATGGTTTGTTTTTGGCACACAAGCAAATGAAGACAATTGTATGTTTATGGCAAACAAGCAACTAAAGACAATGGTATGTTTTTGGCATACAAGCAACTGAAGACAATGGTATGTTTTTTTAACACAAGCATAGATAATGGTTTGTTTTTGGCACACAAGCAAATGAAGACAATTGTATGTTTATGGCAAACAAGCAACTAAAGACAATGGTATGTTTTTTCACACAAGCAACTAAAGACAATGGTATATTTTTGGCACACAAGCTAATGAAGACAATGGTGTGTTTTTGGTACACAAGCAACGGAAGACAATTGTATGTTTTTGGCACACAAGCAACAAAAGACAATGGTATGTTTTTGGCACATAAACAACTGAAGACAATGGTATGTTTCTGTTAACTAAATAACTGAAGCTAATGATATGTTATCTTTGTCATATTATAACCTGGGGTGTAGAGATAAGGCAATCTTGTTTAGTCTGTCATCTTCTAACCTGGGGTGCAGAGATAAGGCAATCTTGTTTAGTCTGTCATCTTCTAACCTGGGGTGCAGAGATAAGGCAATCTTGTTTAGTCTGTCATCTTCTAACCTGGGGTGCAGAGATAAGGTAATCTTGTTTAGTCTGTCACCTTCTAGCCTGGGGTGTAGAGATAAGGTAATCTTGTTTATTCTGTCACCTTCTAGCCTGGGGTGTAGAGATAAGGTAATCTTGTTTATTCTGTCCTATTCTAGTCTGGGGTGTAGAGATAAGGTAATCTTGTTTATTCTGTCATCTTCTAGTCTAGAGTATAGAGATAAGATAATCTTGTTGATTCTGTCATCTACTAGCCTGGGGTGTAGAGATAAGGTAATCTTGTTTATTCTGTCATATTCTAGCCTAGGGTATAGAGATAAGGTATTCTTGTTTATTCTGTCATATTCTAGCCTAGGGTATAGAGATAAGGTAATCTTGTCGATTCTGTCATCTACTAGCCTGGGGTATAGAGATAAGGTATTCTTGTTTATTCTGTTATCTATTAGCCTAGCGTATAGAGATAAGGTAATCTTGTTGATTCTGTCATTTACTAGCCTGGGGTGTAGAGATAAGGTAATCTTGTTTATTCTGTCCTATTCTAGCCTGGGGTGTAGAGATAAGGTAATCTTGTTTATTCTGTCAACTTCTAGCCTGGGGTGCAGAGATAAGGTAATCTTGTTTACTCTGTCAACTTCTAGCCTGGGGTGTAGAGATAAGGTAATCTTTTTTAGTCTGTCATCTTCTAGCCTGGGGTGTAGAGATAAGGTAATCTTGTTTAGTCTGTCACCTTCTAGCCTGGGGTGTAGAGATAAGCTAATCTTGTTTAGTCTGTCACCTTTTAGCCTGGGGTGTAGAGATAAGGTAATCTTGTTTAGTCTGTCACCTTCTAGCCTGGGGTGTAGAGATATGGTAATCTTGTTTAGTCTGTCACCTTCTAGCCTGGGGTGTAGAGATAAGGTAATCTTGTTTAGTCTGTCACCTTCTAGCCTGGGGTGTAGAGATATGGTAATCTTGTATAGTCTGTCACCTTCTAGCCTGGGGTGTAGAGATAAGGTAATCTTGTTTAGTCTGTCACCTTCTAGCCTGGGGTGTAGAGATAAAGTAATCTTGTTTAGTCTGTCATCTTCTAGCCTGGGGTGTAGAGATAAGGTAATCTTGTTTAGTCTGTCACCTTCTAGCCTGGGGTGTAGAGATAAGGTATTCTTGTTTATTCTGTCATATTCTAGCCTAGGGTATAGAGATAAGGTAATCTTGTCGATTCTGTCATCTACTAGCCTGGGGTATAGAGATAAGGTATTCTTGTTTATTCTGTTATCTATTAGCCTAGCGTATAGAGATAAGGTAATCTTGTTGATTCTGTCATTTACTAGCCTTGGGGTGTAGAGATAAGGTAATCTTGTTTATTCTGTCCTATTCTAGCCTGGGGTGTAGAGATAAGGTAATCTTGTTTATTCTGTCAACTTCTAGCCTGGGGTGCAGAGATAAGGTAATCTTGTTTACTCTGTCAACTTCTAGCCTGGGGTGTAGAGATAAGGTAATCTTTTTTAGTCTGTCATCTTCTAGCCTGGGGTGTAGAGATAAGGTAATCTTGTTTAGTCTGTCACCTTCTAGCCTGGGGTGTAGAGATAAGGTAATCTTGTTTAGTCTGTCACCTTCTAGCCTGGGGTGTAGAGATAAGGTAATCTTGTTTAGTCTGTCACCTTCTAGCCTGGGGTGTAGAGATATGGTAATCTTGTTTAGTCTGTCACCTTCTAGCCTGGGGTGTAGAGATATGGTAATCTTGTTTAGTCTGTCACCTTCTAGCCTGGGGTGTAGAGATAAGGTAATCTTGTTTAGTCTGTCACCTTCTAGCCTGAAGTGTAAAGATTACGTAATCGTGTTTAGTCTGTCAACTAGCATGGAGTGTAGATAAGGTAATCTTGTTTAGTATTTTCTCTTCCATCCTACGGTACAACTTAGTATTTCGTCTTTTATTCTGGAATGAAGAGGTACCTTAATCATGTACTAAATCCTAAAATGTAGAGGTACACACTGGGGATGCATAGGTGACCTACAGTCTTGCTTAGTTTATCCCCCTGTACCTTAAGAGTTCGGCTAAATCTCTATCATAGCATATTAATCACCGTTTCAGTTTCACATTAATTCGTGCCATAGTTAAATGGCACTCGAAAAACGAACAATCGATCATAAGCTTGATAAACGCCGAAAACAACAAGAGAACGACAAGAAGATGATTTAACCTTCTCTCAAAATTAAATATAAAATCATTCAGAAAACATTTCAAATTAGATCTCATCGTGTTAAAGATGAAATTAACGAATATAGTGATTATTCAGGAAGTGAAATAAAAGACTGGTTTACCTTGGAGAGAAGTAAATCCAAAATAAACCTGGAGTTGAGTGTGTCAACCCCCCGACGGCTGTTAGTTGAGTCCAGAAGGAGCAGAAGACACATGGCGGGCTGTCTCCGTGCACTTGTCCGGCGTCGTCGCCGCATCTGTCGCCGGCAGAGGGAGGGACCTTTCTGTGACGACCTGTTGTTGTTGTGTGTCACTGAGATATTTTCTCGGTAAATGGGAGCTGAGGTGACGTGAGTAATTCACGGAAGGCTGGTTAATTAGCCGGTGTTTGAATGGAGAGAAACCAGAGACAAGAAAGACATCGATGGACGGACTAGCTGTATCAGATGACACAGGTGTCTAGCTGGTTGCTCCTCTCTCCCATCAACTTTTTCCCGCTCCTTTATCTTTGCCCCGTACCTTCCCATTTTCTTCCTGTTCTTTCCCTGCTCCCTCCCCGGCTTTCCCATGTTCCTGCCATCCACACAACCTCCGGTGTTCCGCATGTTCCCCTCCTGTTCCATGCTCTGCTCCCTGTTCCCTGCTCTGTCCCCTGTTCCCTGCTCTGTCCCCTGCTCTGTACCCTGTTCTGTCCCCATGTTCCCTGCTCTGTCCTCTGTCCTCTGTTCCCTGCTCTGTCCTCTGTCCCCTGTTCCCTGCTTTGCTCTCTGCTCTCTACTCTGTCCCTTGCTCCCTGCTCTGTCCCCTGTTCCCTGCTCTGTCCCCTGTTCCCTGCTTTGCTCCCTGCTCTGTCCCCTGCTCTCTACTCTGTCCCTTGCTCCCTGCTCTGTCCCCTGTCCCTTGCTCTCTACTCTGTCCCTTGCTCCCTGCTCTGCTCCCTGCTATGTCCCCTGTTCCTTGCTCCCTGCTCTGTCCCCTGTCCCTTGCTCCCTGCTCTGTCCCCTGTTCCTTGCTCCCTGCTCTGTTCCCTGTCCCTTGCTCCCTGCTCTGTCCCCTGTCCTTTTCTCCCTGCTCTGTCCCCTGTTCCCTGCTCTGCTCTCTGCTCTGTCCCCTGTACCTTGCTCCCTGCTCTGTCCCCTGTTCCTTGCTCTGCTCCCTGTTCTGTCCCCTGTTCCATGCCCTGTCCCCTATTCCCCGCTCTGCCCCCTGCCATTGTATACCAAGAATGCGTCTCAAACAGCACATGTTGATGGTATTCAATTTGTTCTCTTGAAACAAAACACAGCGTGCCCACCTTTAAAGGACGAACGAAGAAGAAGAAGACATTAACAGTTAAAGTGAAGAGGACTGCACTGCTTTTTAATCCCATAAGGTTCGGTCTGTCACCGTAAAATGTCTAGTCGCCTGCCGAAAGCGTCGCACAAAACACGACTTTTGTAGCGCCAGTGACGAACCCAGTGGGGTTCCCACACAAACAGCACGTGTGAACTGAAGGACGCGTCAGTGACGCGAGTCCAAAACCTTCAGGCAAACGACTTGACCGCTTTGCCACGGAGATTCTCACAATTGCCACAGCCGGGAATCGAACTCGGGTCTACTGCTTGCAAGGCAACCATGTAACCTTTACACGATCACCGCTTTGAAGAAGAAGAAGTAGGAGAGGAGGAGGATGAGGATCAGGCAAAGAAGAAGAAGAAGAAGCAGCAGCAGCAGCAGCAGCAGCAGCAGCAGCAGCAGCAGCAGCAGCAGCAGCAGCAGCAGCAGCAGCAGCAGCAGCAGCAGCAGCAGCAGTAGTAGTAGCAGCAGCAGCAGCAGCAGCAGCAGCAGCAGCAGCAGCAACAGCAGCAGCAGCAACAGCAGCAGCAGTAGTAGCAGCAGTAGTAGCAGTAGCAGTAGTAGTAGTACTAGTAGTAGTAGTAGTAGTAGTAGTAGTAGTAGTAGTAGTAGTAGTAGTAGTAGTAGTAGTAGTAGTAGTAGTAGTAGTAGTAGCAGCAGTAGTAGTAGTAGCAGCAGTAGTAGTAGTAGTAGCAGTAGTAGTAGTAGTAGCAGCAGTAGTAGTAGTAGTAG